GCTTTGAAAGTCATGGGTTTTATGAATTGTTTTTGGATGCATGCCTACTTTAAAGTGTTAATAGCTTGCATGTGTATTCAAATGTTCATACTTGTTCTTAGCTAGGACAACATTTTTCCTTCAAAAAGATGGCATGGAAGGACTAAATGCAGCAGCAATGCTGCTGCCGTGGTGAAATGGAATAAACTAGAGAATGGATGGCTGAAGTCTAACTTCGACGCAAGGCTTGCCCAGGCCCAGTGCGAGTTGGGCAACCGTCCGCGGCCCAAAAAAATTGAGGGCACCAAAATTATTTCAGATGGTATATTCATATATAATTTCATAAGAGTATAAATTTATAAAATTTGGTTAATTGACTAAGTTTAACTAGAACTAGTGGTTATGTGTTTATTTACTTTCAGGTGGTTATGTGTTTATCTCTGGTTTAAATCGCCATGTGTTTATTTACTTTCTAATTTTGTAATTCATGATGTTTAAAATTAACAAAGAGGTCTCGGGTTTAAAGCATTATGTGTGTTTTTTATTTTCCAATTTTTGCAAATTTCTTTTCGTAAGAGTATAAATTTTTAAGGGTAAAAGACTGTTTACGACCCTCATGTTTCGTGGTTTTCAACATTTAGTACATCAAGTTTTTTTCATCTCAGAGTCATACCTAAAGTGTAAATTTTGGGACAGTCTCATACATCCGTTAGTTAAACTGTTAAATGTGCTGTTAATTAATTGTGACGTGGCGTCCATGTGGACAATGACTGAGCGCCACGTGTCAACCATGTTTTTTTTTTCTTTTTCTTTTTTCTTCTTTCTTCTTTCTTCTTTCTTCTTTTTTCTTCTTCTTCTTCTTCTTCCTCCGACTGCAACTTTTTTTTTCTTCCTCCTTCTCCTTCTTCCTTCCTCCTTCTTCCTTCCCCTTCTTCCCCTTCTTCATTCTTCTTCCTTCTCCCTTCTCCTTCTCCTTCTTCTTCCTCCGAATCTGGGGAAGTTTTTTTTTTTTTTTCCTTCTTCCTCCTCCTTCCTCCTTCATCCTTCCTTCTTCCTTCTCCTTCCTCCTTCTTCCTTCTTCCTTCCTCTTCTTCTTCTTCTTCCTCCGAATCTGCCCAGATTCGGTTTTTTATATTTTATTTTTTTCTTCTTCCTTCTTCTTCTTCTTCTTCCTTCCTCCTTCCTCCTTCCTCCTTCTTCCTTCTTCCTTCTTCCTTCCCCTTCTTCTCCTTCTTCCTTCTTCTTCCTTCTTCTTCCTCTGAATCTGGGGAAGATGAAGGTTTTTTTTATTTTTTTGAGGAAGATGAAGAAGAAGGAAGAAGGAAGAAGGAGAAGAAGGGAAAGGAAGAAGGAAGAAGGAAAAGAAGAAGGAAGAAGAATGAGGAAGAAGAAGAAAGAAGAAAGAAAAAAAAGCCGAATCTGGGCAGATTCGGAAGAAGAAGAAGAAGAAGAAGAAGAAGAAGAAGAAGAGGAAGGAAGAAGGAGGAATGAGAAAGAAGAAGGAGAAAAAAAAAAAACTTCCCCAGATTTGGAGGAAGAAGAAGAAGAAGAAGGAGAAGGGGAAGGAAGAAGGAGGAAGAAGAAGAAAGAAGAAGAAAAAAAAAACAAACCAAATCTGGGCAAATTCGGAAGAAGAAGAAGGAAGAAGGAAGAAGGAAGAAGGAAGAAGGAAGAAGAAGAAAAAAAAAAAAAAAACTTCCCCAGATTCGGAGGAAGAAGGAGAAGGAGAAAGGAGAAGGGAGAAGGAAGAAGAAGGAAGAAGGAGAAGAAGGGGAAAGGGAGAAGGAGAAGGAGGAACAAAAAAAAAGTTGCAGTCGGAAGAAGAAGAAGAAGAGGAGGAAGAAGAAGAAGAAGAAGAAGAAAGAAGAAAGAAGAAAGAAAAAAGAAAAAAAAAGAAAAAAAAAACGTGGCTGACACGTGGCGTCCAGTCATTGTCCACATGGGCGCCACGTCACAATTAATGGCAAATTTAACAGTTTGACTAACGGATGTATGAGACTGTCCCAAAATTTACACTTTAGGTATGACTCTAAGACAAAAAAGACTTGATGTACTAAATGTTGAAAACCATGAAACATTGGGGTAGTAAACAGTCTTTTACCCAATTTTTAATGTAAGAGTATAAATTTTTAAAATTTGGTTAAATGATCAAAAAGTTTAATCACAAGCAATGGTTTTTGTTGTAGAAAATTAATGAAAGGTCTTGAGTTTGAAATGCTATGTGCTTTTTGTTTTATTCTTTCCAATCTTTACCAATTTCTGTTTGGTTGTTAATTTCTTTTTAATTATTAGTTCGTAGTTATGTAGGTTGCAGTTTTTAGACATTCATTCCAATTCAAGTCCAACCTTTAACAAGGAGGAATGTGTGGACAAAATTTTTAGACCAAATTTGCAAATCAAAATACATGTCACCAATAAGAAATAAGCACGTCAATCAATACTTACGGAATAATCTAATCATCAACAATCACATCATACATTTTACAAATTTGGTTTAAAAATTTGGTATCCTAGCATAAGCCTTCAAGAAATTAATGAATGCATGTCTCATCCATTGCCTATATATATCAATTAAAGACCCGAAAATATAATTATTTGTTTAGTTTCACATTGACAAGGTTAATAAGAAAAACACCTTACAAGTTATATAAAAACACTTTAAAAATTCAGATAGATGGGAAACAAAACTCATCATCTATCTACTTGTAAGCTTGAGATTTTTTGGTTTCCTTCTTTCAATACAAACTTAATTAAATTTTTCGTGTTTAAATTATTGAGTTTGAAGTGCTTTTCTAAGTATAATTTTATCGAAGTCTCATTGAAGTTGTTGTTGGGGGGGGGTGTAGGTGTGGTGCTGCTAGATGAGGCAAGCCAATTCGTGGCGGCTATGGTGATGAAGTTGAACGACATTTCCTCGTTGTTGCAAGAAGAACTAGAGGTAGTGCGTGTGGGGGTTCTGTTGGTACGAGAAATCATTGCAGAAGCAGTGGAATTCAAGGGGATGCTACGATGGTTCCCGTGACTCTTAATAGCCATGAAGCTGGTGATACTTCTTCGATGGGCAATTTGGTAAATAACATGCGCCACTATTTGCGTTCCATACCTCAAACAAAATTGATCCGTACTCGAAGGGAAGCAAATAGAGTGGCTCACAGACTGGTGCTTTTGGGACTTAACTTAGATCAAAAGAGAGTGTGGTTTGAAGAACCTCCAAATGTAATTTTAGACCTCATTATGAAGGATAGCTTATCTTTGTAACTATGGTATGGGACGCTCTTTTTCCCTTCGACTAGGTTGAAATCCCTAGCAAGGTTTTTATCGAGGCCTATTAATTTGCACCCTATCCTCTCTATTTGTACGAATTCGAAATTTCTTATGAATGAATATCGTACTTGATCTAAGAAAAAATGTAAATCTTGGTATCGCCATTTTAGCCCTCTCATTTTATGCAGATATCGTTTGTAATAAAAATAATGAAATTTGCCTACTTTGTTACATTATCCATTTTAAAATCCAGTGGTGTTTTCAAAGTTAAGTTGCCAGTTAAAATTGGATGGGAATAGGGCACAAATTATTCTTTAAAAGGTCTTTGGAGAATTTATCATCTGTCGCCCAAATTTAACACTTAAAGCTCAAATATTTTCTAGGCTTATTTACAGCAAACATCCTCATAAACTCAATCTTTAGTCCACTTAAACCTTTATAACTCAAAACGTATCACTTAATCCCTTAAAAGTTAACTTTGTGTCCTACTTTTCCTCATTTGATTTGTTCACTAAAAATTTGGTTGAGTGATGTGACATGGCAAGTATGGTATTGATTGGCCGACCCTAGTTTTCTAGCACATTTGTCCAAATTTTTTTGGTTTGGCCCATTTACAAAAGTTACTCTCACACAACCTTTTCAAAGTATCAATGTATCTTATTGAGCGCTCATCAACAATTAAGCACCCAAGTTAATAGAAGACAAATGAAAATATTTAGGAAATGAGGCAGAATAAATGTTCATACATAAAAACACTCAAAAGTAGCCAAAAGTTTACACAAAAATAAGAGGGGAGGGAAGGGGAGAGAATCCTACTCCCACAAAAATGCCATCTAGTCTACAAAAGAAAAGGCCTATTGTGAAATAGTAATGATAGGTAGATTTGTAAACTACGTGATGTGCCACCAACAAAAAGTAAGTACGTTAATTAATAATTCAATTATCAACAAACACGTTATATTGTTTACAAAATTTGGTCTAAACAGTTAGTTTCCCTAGCATTACCCATTGAAAAATGTTATTGTCGCTTTCATTTGTCAATAATTTTTTTTTATTTGAACATAATTATTGTCTCTCTACACTGGACTAATAAAATCTCCCAAACTTTCAAATTTTCCCTTAACATAAATGAAAAGAAAAACTAATGCTAATGTTAACGCTCAAAATTGTAAGGTTAGCGAGCTTAATTAAATCACTCTAGGTGGGCTTAGGAAATGAGCTAGAATTAAATGGACTCAAAGATGTAAGTGGTTTACCCCTCAAAACTGGGTTACATCCACCGTGTTGCTCATAATATATTGATTTCAAGACTAAATAGCGTTCGGCTCATACATTCACTCTCTCTTCTTTTTGATTCGCCCGACCCTCATATTGGAGATCTTTACTCCTTTATACGGGCCTCTCCCTCTTAAGGCTTCTCAAATAGGCATTTAATGTGCCAACAACTTGCACTAGCTTATTGACACATGTCCACCTACTTGGCCAGGCTCTCGTCAATGAAGTGACGTTCTTGCAACCGGGGTGGCACGCGCGTTTAGATCTAGGTGAATTAAACATCTAATAGGACATTGGTTACTCTTACTCGTCTCACCGAGCACCTTCTCAACTACCTTTACGTCTTACCCTAGACATCTGTTGTTGAATGCCAGTCGCCACATAATTAAAACGGCACCTGAATAGTTCTTTCCATGGAGACTCAAGTTGTAAAGTTGTCACTTTGCCCACGTTCCATGCATTCAGGCAACTCCTCTTTCATCTCAGTCGACTTAAGTGCTCAGGATGGCTCTCTTTAACCCCTTTAGGCCTTGGGCTCTTTGGTCTTTTCTTGGGCCTATGCCATTGGGTGAGCCTAAAAGCGCCCAACATTACCCACAACCCACCTATGAGCAACAACACATTTTTATCTCTCTACACCCTCATCGTTTTTTTTCTTTTCTTTCTTTTCTGGCGATCCAAACCCTAACGCATGTAACCATTGCTACTCTCCTTCTCTCTTTCTTGTTCTTGAGTTTGACTTTTATCTATATATTAATTTGTTCTATGTACTAGATATCTCCCTCTATCGTTATGGTACAATTTGTAAATAGGTCTGGGAAGGAAAGTATTCCCGTTTATTTAGTCTGTTTCCTTTATATCTTATTCTCCATCAAACTCTGAAAATGGCGGAACAATATCTTCTTCTCCGTCCAAATACCAAACCCTATCTCAATCATCCTTCAACCACCCAAAGCCACCAAGATGCCGATATCACAAAGGTAACCATTTGCCATCCTTCATCTCTGTCCAAATACCAAACCCTATCTCAATCATCCTTCAACCACCCAAAGCCACCAAGATGCCGATATCACAAAGGTAACCATTTGCCATCCTTCATCTCTGATTTTATTGTTCAAAGAATTGGAATGAAAAGCTCAATATATTACTTATGCATGATTTCGCTATGTAGGACTTTGATTTTAGGCCATGGCTTCAGATTGGATGAACAAACAAACGGCGGAGATCTCGAGGTTTGCGGATTCAAGAATGATAAGGTAAAAAGAAAAATTCCATCCCTTCTTTCTTTTGTCGGTGCTGTAGCTTCATATTCACTTTTGACTTTGTCTTGTAATCTCTGCGATGTTTGTGGCTGAGAGAATAAATGCAAAAATTATCAATGCTTCCATGATGTAAATTCATCCATGCTTATAATGAATCTGTTTGTGGTCTCTATGTATTTGTGCATCCATGTATTTTTATTTTTTTTTGGATATATGGGGGGATTGTATTTTTTTTTTTTTTAATTTTTTTTTTATGAATTGGGAGTGTATGATTTCTCTTTTCTTCTTACGATTATTTTTTATGGTGTGATGACTTGATGGGTCTACCAAATCCAATCAAAACTTGAGCGATGATTTTCGAAAACAATAAATAAAAATTACAATACTCTCTATGATTTCTTTTTTACAAATTTCAGTGAGATGTTAGTTTTTATCTCAAATTTCAGTCCATTGAAGTTGAAATTGATTGCGAAGTTGTCAAATGCATATTTCAGGCTGTTTGACTCCAACATGCTCATCAGCAACACCACGGCGGTGATATGCTTGGATGATTACCATTCCCTAGACATGACATGGAGGAAGGAGAAAGAAGTGACGATGCTAGACCCAAGAGCTACCTACTTCGATCTTATGTATAAGCAGATGAAGGCAATCAAGGAAGGGAAGGCTGTTGAGAAGCCTATTTACACAATGTTTCTGGTCGCTTGGATCCTCCTGAGCTCATCAAGTTCCCCCAAGATTCTTGTCATTGAAGGTTTACGTGCAATGTAAGTGCATGTCTACTTAATTACTCATCTTAATCACTTGCATTAACTAATTAATCACTACTTTATTATTTTTCCTCACTACACATTCATGAAATCCTGGACTTGTTCTTAATTAGAATCTTTCTTCTAAAGCGATATTTTTACCCTTAATTCATCTAAACCGATTTCGTAAAATTGCACTTAATATTATTTTTTAGATGAGAGTATCCACGTAATTTAGCGAGAGTAAAACAAATCTTCTTTTATATTTTGGATGAGGTACTCATTAATTGATAAATCCACATATGCTAACCCAGTGTTCTTTGTTCAATTCTTAATTGTTTTTATGTATCAGCTGCATGCTGCAATCATTGAACTGGATACCAAGATCTAGAATGATAACTCATTGACCAAAAAATGATGAAGATTATAACTCTAGTTGGCCACTTGCGTTGCATATAATCCTTTTAAAGATGTAGTACGTACATTTATTTACTAAACCGAAATCAATTGGATGTAAACCATGTTTTGGTGTCTCTTTATTGACTTCTTAGTGTCTCTTGGGTTCTGAGTTTGATTAAGACTTTGTAATCAATTCCATGTGTGTAAGTTTATATTCACTATGTTGTTCGTAATCATAGGTATACTAGGCTAAATTGGTAGTTTCTTAATGTTCTGGATGTGAAAATTTTTGTTTATGGGTATTTGAAGTTTTTCATTGCAGTTGGGTGTTATGAGAGCAAAGAAGAAGTTGCCAAGAGAGAGGAGGTTATTCCGCGTATTGATATGATATTAACTAGCACTCAAATTAACCCTCTTTTTATCAATTGTAGTAAGTATGTAAGTAGGGATCGTTCTAGGCCGGGGATTAGGAGGGATTGCAAAATCACTTGAAAACTGACTCAAATACGTAAAAACAAGTTTAAAACACTAAACTAAACTCAAAGAATGCAAAACTAAACTTTAAAATACCAAAACAAACCAAAAGACTCAAAACAGCCTAAAAACCACTTTCTGGGCAGTTTTGGACACTAAGCACCAAATTGGACGAATTTGGGTTTTAACTTGAATCAAAACACTTAAAAACACAGAGTAAAACACTTACTAACTAATTTGACACTTTAAAACAAAGGGGGAATTGGTTTGGACGAATTTAAAACAAGACATAAACTTTGTAAAACAAAACAGTTTTGAAAACGAATTTGGTTTAAATGGATGAATGGAAGGCTAGCTAAGGGGTTCATCTCCACACATGTTATACTTGCATTCAAAACGATTTCCAATTGCTTTTCAATAAACCATGAATTCTCAATGCCCCAAGTTAATTAGGTCCGCTTAAATTAACCTTCAGATTTTCCTAACGTTATTGAATTGGATGATTGCATACGACAACTCAAAACATTCCCCGTAAGTCCCCTACATGATTGCATAATAGAGATACAAGCAAGAATCATTAAGTTCTATGAAAACCATAAGCATTGACGAAGCACTTGTTACTATGATTGCATGAAACTTATGCCAAGAATTTACTTAACGCGATTGAGATCATCAACCTTTACCACTTGTGATATAAGTCCATAACGATTAGGTGAAATTTCCTTATATCCTAGCATTCAATTTATGCATGATAATTAAGCGTGCACTCTCAACCAACACACACAAATCAATGTAATTCACATAGATAAGTAAATTGAATTCACAACTTATGAAACACAATTAGAAGTAATCAAATCATATCGCAAGCATAAACATGTATTTCGAATCCCCCCTAGCCAAGGGGGGGTTTAGTTCCTCATAAGCATAAAACAAAGAGTAATAAGTTTAAACATTGAAATCAAAGGGAAGGAAACACCTAAAACTTCCAGCCACTTGAACTTGCACGGCATGAACTTCCAAGGCTCCTTCTCCTCCTCCTTGTTGCGGCAAAGGACTTTAGGGACAGGTTGGGACTTATATGTATGGGTGGATGAGTATGGACTAAGGTAGAAGTGTTTAGGAAGGGTGGGGGGTGCGGCAAGGTCAGATTGTATGGTGAATGGGAGTGAATTGGTGCGGCAAAGGGTTCTTGTGAATTTCTGGAGTGAATTGTGAATTGTGGTGAGTGGTGAATGTGAAGGGGTGCGGCACACCTATTTATAGGGCCCTAAAACCCTAGGTGAATCAGATTAGGCCTTCTAGAAAGTCAAATCCATCAGGAAAGAGGTTAAACAATCAGATTTTGCAAGGGAAAAGGGGTCCTAGGTGCGGCAGGTTTGTAGGATAAAGGATAGGGCTTCTAGAATGCCTTGCAAGGCAAGGAACTAGGGCATCTAGAAGCTAGGGTGCGGCACCAATGTAGGGATTAGGGATAGGGCTTCTAGAAAGCCCCAAAACTGATAGGAATTGTAGAAACTCACGGCAAGGAGGGGAATTCTTCTAGAAACTTCTCATTTGTGTCCTACAACACTTAGGAGTCCTTCTAGCATTAGGAAAACATGTCTCAATCCTCTCTTGACTTGGAATTCTTCTCCTACTTTATCTTGGAAACCTTTCCTTCTCGGACTTGGAAATCTTCTTTGTTGCTGAAACTTGAGGCCATTTGGATTTAACTTTCCTACTTTGAGTAGGAAACCTTATTCGAGTAGGAATCTTCATTCTTCTAGGAATCCACCTTCAACTAGGAATCCTTTGTTGATTAAGATTTCATCTTTAATTAGGCGCTTTCCTACTTCGACTAGGAAACCTTGTTCAAGTAGGAAACATCATCTTCGACTCTTCAATTTCGTCCATCCTCTTGGCTCCAAGCATATGATGTCCATTCCAAGCTCTAATTTGCTCCAAAAGGCTCCAAAATGCATCCTTTCGCATACTTTGCCCTTAGAACCTGAAAATACATAAAACTAGCTTAAAAGAGTACTTTAACTAAGGAAAAACAACGTAAATGCACAAGAACAAGCTAACTAAGGCGCATAAATATGCTCCTATCACGTATCAAGCAGGTGCCTTTTTCAAAAGGATGAGAAGCATGTATATATATATAATAACATATGCAAATAAAATTGCAACTTGGACTGCTAAGGTTTAGCCTTCAAACAAAATTACAGATGTGGTGCATCCAAGTTCAGAAAATCAATAGTCAGTTTTAGAAAAAATTTATCCATTTTCAGTTTCAAAAATAGCATACTCGTTTTCAATTTCATAAATAGTATACATGTGCTGAGTTTCATAAATAGTCAGTTTTATAAATAGTGTACCTGTGTTGAGTTTTATAAATAATCAGTTTCAGAAATAGTGTACTCGTGTTGAGTTTCATAAATAGTTAGTTCCAGAAATAGTTTAGTACCTGTGTTTAGTTTTAGAAATAGTGATAGCACCAGCGTTCAGCTTGAGAAATAGTGATAGTACATGTGTTCAATTCGAGAAATAGTTATGTTTAGTTTAAGACATAGTGATAATACCAATGCTAATTTTAAGAAATAGTGATAGTACCCATGTTCAATTTCAGAAATAGTCAGTGTTTAGTTTCAGAAATAGTATGGTACCCGTGTTCAATTTCAGAAATAGTTAGTTTAAAAAATAATGAGGGTAGGAGAGAGGGTGTGTGTATATTTAAGAAATAGTCAGTGTTTAGTTTATAAATAATTTATATGTGAAATTTATATTAATCTTACTTTGATTCTATAAATATTTCAATAAGCATTTCAACATGATTTTGTTTTTGAATCTTCCTCAATCTAAATCCTTCTCAATTCAATTTCTCTAATTTGTTTACTAGTTTATAAGTTAGTAAATAAGCAATTATTCTTTCTCATTTTAGTTCCTTTAATTTCATTTACAAATTTTTATGCACACCATAAATGTAATTGAAGCTCCTAAGCTCCATCACCCAAAAATAAAAAGACATAACTTGGCCCAATTTCCCTATCGAGATTTAATCAATTTAATTTTAATTATATATGATTGTCACTTGGTATTATGGTCTAGTAATATTTCTCTTCACTTGTAAGTGAGAGGTCTTAGGTTTAATTCTCATCAAATGCGAATTTGAACCACATTATTGCTAGCCCATTGTGAAGTTTAGCCTACTTTCCCACCCCTTTAGTGTAAAAATATTGTTTGTTAAAATATATATATATATATATATATGATTAATGTTCTGCAAGTAAAAGAGTATATGGCTATGGGAAACAAATGAGGAATATGTTGAGTGGGTTCTAAATTTAATTACTAGAAGATAGCATATAGGATGGGAAGGAAGGAAGAACTTCTCACATAACATGGATTCAAACCAAAAACGGACCTTAAAGGGAGGAGATACAAAAGGAAGCAATTTGTACCGTGCTAAAAAATACTTGACAAACCTCTGCTATACGCCACACACTTTTCTCTATCGGTTTCGATTTTGAGACTGAACCAAAATAATCTACACTATTTATGAAATTGAACCTAAATAACTCATACTATTTTAAAAATGAAAGAAAACACGTAGTTAATGAACCAATTTTTTATATAGATAGTGCAAAAACACATTATTTCTAGAATTGAACTATTTCTTTATTATGACTTTCCAATTTTAACCTTAACAACAAGCCTTTGATCGTTTAATCTTTGCTATGCTCTCTCCCCTGTTTCTTCATGACACGACGGCGATCTCCTTTCAAAGAAGGAGAGGAGAGGAGAGGAGATGAGAAGATATGAGAAGAGAGATAGTTGTCTTGTCAACGAACATTCAGATACTGCTGCCACTGTTACCTGGGATCCACGCTGGCCCAAAATGAATTGCAGGACCACCGCAAAATCATAAAAAAAAGTATAAAACAAACGTTTGATTTGGACCAATAACACAAATTTCTTGGCGAAACCAAACCCAATTACCATATTTATTATTGTGATACTTGTTGAAAAATTAAAGAGTGTTACTTAATTCAAACCAATAATTAAGAATTATAACCTTAAAAGCACTTTAACAAGAAAAAGAAAAAAGGAAAAGAAAAACTGTACAGGAGGCGATCAATCCCAATAAAAACACATAAAAAAGAGGCTAACGGGATAAGAAGGAAAAAGAGAAACGGTGGCAAGGGAACTAGAAGGCTAACGGGACTGGTTGGGTTCTGTCAGGGGCAGTTTTGGAAAAAACATTTACTGTTGATTGGGCTTTTAATTCAGTTTGTGAGTTTTTATGTTTGTAAGGTCTAGTGTATGAATAGTTTCCTTATGATTAAATTGTAAGTCATTTTGGTTAAATAATAGTTTTGGATGATTTTTTTTATTAAATTAAAGTTAGCCAAAATCCTTTTCATTAAAGCTTTTTTTTTTTTTTTTTTGATTTTTTTCACAATAAGTATTCCTGGTCATTAATTGGTATTACTCTTCGATTTGAATTAGTGTTTTTGCTTTTATTACAAACAAGTGGTAACATAAAATTTTGGAAGATCGGGATGACACTTGGAAGAATGATGCATGAAAGTGGAAACTACAGTTTAAACTGATTGGGGAAGAGAAAGATGCTGATGAGGAGGGGAGTTGACAGAGCGGTGCCGTTGTCGAAAAGACGACCGCGGAGCATTGTGATTTTATCTCAATGGTAAACATAAGCGGGGTAGAAGAATGAAAGAAGTAAAAAATTGGAGGGGATCGTGGTCGTTGATGATGTCAAGGGAAGGTGTCGCGAGTGCTTGGGTGGGTTTTGGGTTCTTAGGTTTTCTTTCATTATTTTTTTCATTTACGTAAGCGTAAACTTAGAAATTTTAGCAGAGATATTTTAATAGGAATATAGAGAAAAAATATTTAGGTTCAAATAAAATTTCAATACGCCAATTTGATTTAAGGGACGCAACTCTTAGTCCAATGGCCTTTTGCGTTGTTAAATGACAGTTGACATAAGTGCAGCAAACCGGGGTGACTTCAAGGCTCATACATACAACGTTATTATAGACAATATCAAATGAATGTGATTATGTTTTTTAATTGAATTGTTTTTTTTTTAATTTCTACAAAATATTTAATTATACCGTTGCCAGGCATTGCCATGGATGGAATGTATGGCAATACACGTTTATTAGCAACTTGTGGTAAACTCACGTTTGTAGATTGGCTTCAGCTATTTAATTAATTATAAATAGGAAGAATTGCTTGTCAAAATAACTAAGGATTTTGTCAAAAATATTTTTATGATTTTATAAAAACAAAATTTTATGCCTCCTTTTCTGAACAATTGATTGGATTGGAGAAAATCATGTATTATTTTGTGATCCGACTGCAGCACATCCAGTAGCATATGATTGACTTTACTAATATATATGGAACGTCGGCAACTTGGCTTTACTAAAACTAAATAATATTCCCTTGGAATATAATTATTTTCTTAAATTAATTCTATCTCTTTGTAATTATATACTAGAATTCTATTGTTTTTGTTTCCACGTTCTCTATGAACAAACTCTCCTAAACTAGCCAAAAATGAAACATTAATTCAGAGTGGTTGCATTGATATATCTGGATTATGGAATTAAAAATTCTCTCTCAATTTTTTTTTATTGAATTGGGCATTATGTTTTTAGGAACACAACTTTTTATGTTAGGTTGAGGTTTTATTTAGTCCCTTCCCTTGAACCGGTCGTGGAGCTCTCTACTGATCTGTTAAGATTCGGGAGTTCCTTTTAGTGTTAAAATTAATGGCGGCAACTCTGCTATTTTACATATTTTAATCATTTATTTTAATTTTATCCTATCTTTCTCATGAAACTCTAGCTACTAATTAAGTTTACATTTGTAATGTTAGGTAAGTTTACAATATCCTCCTATATTTGTCTTTGCTCCAATTTCAGTCCTACTAATTTTATTACTAAAACTTGCTTTGTGGGTGGGTGTGGGGTTGCTCTTTCATGTCTCTTGTGTTTAATTGCATTCGTTGCTTGAATATAGTTTGGAATCAAAGGCAATCACACCTGGGAATAGAAATCCAAACACGAATAAATTGTAGTCTATCATTTGGGGGAATCGGCATTCTATTAGGATATCCATTCCTTTAATATTATTTTCTTTTCGCCAACCTTCTGATGAGATGGTTTGTCAAGTATATATGTTGCATTCCGGGTTCATTTCTGAAAATTATAAAATGCAATTTTGGAAAGGTCTAAAGTAAATGAGGGCACGTTCGGTATCCTTATTATATTTAGTCTTTGAAACTAATGAGTATTGAGTAGTTTAGCTACCATTATTACTTTTTTAAAATAAAAATATCAAATTCAAGAAGAATACAAAACAAACCCTTATTAGGATCTTCAAATCTTTAATTATTATATATACATCATGAAATTTCGTGGTTATCCACCATTGGATCAACATACAATATAGTTTCTATTGATTTCAAAACGAAAGTACTTTATATGAATTTGAATTGAATTTAAATGTATTCAGTTGAATTTTGATCGAGTAGTGGTGACAAAGAACTTTCAAGGGTAATGATGAATTCAAGACTTCTCTTGGCTTATTGCAATAGAGATTAATTTAGCGTAATCACCGTTTGGAGCCTGTGTAACTATTAATCATTCAAGAGGTTTTATAAATTAGTAACTCTTTTAGGCAAAGCAATTAAGAACAATATGTATATTATGGAAACAATTATGTAAATGCTAATAAACCACATAAAATGTCCACATTGAACAGCTTAAACTTATGAAAAATAAAAACGAAAATTAATAAATTCTTATCCTAATACATTTATAAACAGTGGTACATGTCCATGCTCGAGTTGATGATCATTATTTTTTTTTTCTTCATTTCATGTATATTTTTTCATGGCCTGCGGAGGATGAATGATGAACAATTGATGGTGGTTGGGAATTAAATTGCATTTGAGTTGGCATAAATTTGTGGTCACATTGCTAACTATCTAAAAATCCAAATGGTTCCATAATTTAATTTAGAGATAATTAGAGCAATGGCTCCTGACTTTAACTCAATTGGAGCTTTGGTTTTTGAACTAAAAATGAGTGAATATTGGTCCTTAAACTTGTTATAATGTAAAGTGATGGCCATTTCGGCTAATTCTGTTAAAAATTCTATCCATTTTTCGCTTCCTTAAACTCTTTATTTTGGATAAAAGTTCTATCCATTGTTTAGTATTATAGCAAATTTAGGAATCAATATTCACTGATTTTTTTAGTTCATGAATCAAAACTCATCATTGCTCCAATTTTTTGCATAATTTTTATAAAATGAATTGGTTGTCCTTTTAGTTGTCTAGACCCTCTTCGCCCCTAGACGCCTATTTGCCTACGTATTTTTCGCCTGTCATGATCCTACAAACCCCACACACAGATAAAACAACTATATATCCAGTTTTCAGCCAAGAGACAAATCATTTGTCAAACCCGTATTAGCCGACCTTTGTGTTTGAATAAAATAAAAAACAAGGTTTATGTAACTACTTTCCATGTGCTAGAACATGGTGCAAAATAACAACTCAGCTCTATTTAACAAGAGCAACTTATATTGCGTAGGGTGCCATAAGGTCATAAAAGTTGTTTCTCTATTTTTAAAGAACATTGTTTGACTCCTTATATATAACGGACAATTTTTACTTACCTATAAATCACAATTTGATACATAAAAGTAACAGAAAGATCACAAAAAAAAAATATTTTTCAACATATCACACTGTAATTAGTTTGAAAGAAAAATGACTCCTCAACTCCAAAAAGTCCAATATTTTCCATTTGAAACTCAAAACAAACTGGCTAATAGATAATATAATCATGCCAGAGTGTATGTCCCAACAAAGGTCCAAGGACCACAGTTGTTTATTTTTAACAGCAATATGCTTTTAGTTTTTAAGTTTTAAAATCATGTCAATCTTGTATGTCCCTAATGTCATTGTATAAGTAGGTCTCGAATCCCCATAGCACAAACACTAACATCAAATTAAAGATATTAAGACATGGAAACTCGTAGTTGCATTCTCCTATCTGCTTTTCTCATCCCTTTCCTTCTTGGAACAGCTTGTGCTCAACTTAGGACAGACTTCTACAAAGGCACGTGTCCAAATCTTGAGTCCATAGTCTCTTCTGCTGTCAAAACCAAGTTCCAGCAGACTTTTGTAACTGCTCCAGCCACTTTGAGGCTCTTCTTCCACGACTGCTTTGTTCGGGTTAGTAGCTAGGTCCTTTCAAATTCCAACTTTCGGTTTGCCAAGTTTCCGTTTGTTTAATGTGTTGCCTTCATTGGTACAGGGTTGTGATGCTTCAGTGTTGATTCAGTCACCAACTAATCAGGGGGAGAAGGATCACCCCGATAACCTTTCGCTTGCTGGAGATGGATTTGACACTGTGATCAAAGCCAAGGCAGCGGTTGATGGCGATCCTAACTGCAAAAACAAGGTTTCATGTGCAGATATTCTTGCTCTGGCTACTAGAGATGTTGTACAGCTGGTATAATATTCTCCTTACCGTTATTAATTTGATTAGTTTTTCTTTAAATTTATTTAGTATCTGCTGTCATCATAGTAGGACAGAAGCCAAATAAGCTTTTTAAATTTAACCTAACGATTGAGAATATTAGTCTAACTACTACCATTATGTAATAAGTTAATGATTAATCGTTATCTTATTTGAATAATCTTATCCTACGTTTTGTCTAATGCACATATTTCAAGCAGGCTGGGGGACCATCTTATACAGTTGAACTGGGTAGGCGAGATGGAAGGGTATCTACTATGGCTAGTGTTCAGAGACGCCTTCCTTCCCCTACTTTCAATCTAGACCAGCTTAACACCATGTTTACCTCTCATGGTCTCTCCCAGACTGACATGGTTGCATTATCAGGTAGTCTTCTTTTATTTGCCAGTGATTCCTAAGGTCTTTTTAGGGTTACCATTATTTTTGTCTCTCTAATTTGTCGTAATGTTATCTTGGCCTATATATGTTGTTAGACTGTGAATCTACCACCGCATGCTAAAACAACACTTCTGATCAAAGATTTAGATTGACAATCTTGCAAGAAAACATGCTGGTAACGAAAAGTTAATGTTTTTTCTAACTCGCATGCTTTTGTTAGGTGCGCACACACTTGGTTTCTCTCATTGCAGCCGGTTTTCCAAGAGAATCTACAGCTTCAGCAGCAAAACCCGTATTGATCCGACACTCGATCCAGCTTATGCATTGCAGCTTCGACAGATGTGTCCAACTCGAGTGGATCCCAGAATTGCCATTAACATGGACCCAACCACACCTCGAGCATTTGACAATGTTTACTTCCAGAATCTTCAGCAAGGAAAGGGTCTGTTCACCTCTGATCAGATACTGTTTACAGATACAAGAACAAGGGCAACCGTCAACCAATTTGCATCAAGTAATGCAGCTTTTAATCAAGCTTTTATACAAGCCATGACTAAGTTAGGCAGAATTGGGGTTCTGACGGGCAATCAAGGCGAGATTCGGCGAGACTGCACTCGCCCAAACTAGAATGGATTAAACTGGATAGATTCAACTGGATAATCTCTCGAAAAACTATTTTTATATTGATTGAATTTTTTTTTTTTTTTTGGTTATTATGGGAGTGTAAAACTTCGTTATGCATAGTCACAATGTTTGAGTGTGAGAGTAACTCATCAGCTTCAGGATACAATTAGCAGTTAGTTGGCAGAGGGAAATGTATCACTGTTTTTATTTCGTAGAAAAGCTCTGCTTGATTAGCTGTGCAAGGAATCTTCAAGTTGCTGGAATAATGCATTTTTAGCAGTTAATTTATATGAAATACTTGAAGATGGAAAAAAAAAAAATAACTTTATTTGGTACCACATGGTCATAGAATATATTGTTTGTTAGCTACTGGACAGGTCTCTTTTATTGTCATTCAAATTCAGAAAGAATCAATTGGATGATTATATAAATAAGTAGATGCAAATTTCCGCCTTCTTCTTCTTGGACGAAAATGCACTTGCAAAATAATCAACACCTTAAGCCAAGAGCTTCACGCGCCCACGATGAATGGAAGGGGGGGTGGCTTTGGCCCAAGAATCTCCAATGCCAAAGTTAGAATTTGAGGGAAAAATGTTTAGAAAAATTTGGAGAATTTTAGAAGAGAATTTGACTTAGATTTTTAGGAGAAATGAGAGCTATTTATAGGGGTGTGGTGGGCCCCTATTTGGAGAAAAGGGGTCCGGCCACTTATGGTGGTTTTTGGCTCTAATTGCAATATATTATGTCAAAAATAATATCTTGCAATCAATTAGGAAATTAATTAGAAAATTAACCAATTAATTAATTAATTTTGGGAATTAATCCTAATTTGAAAGGAACAAATAGGGGTTACCTTATGGGGAGGATTTGATGAGGATTGATGAAATAGGTTTTGAATAAATATCTATTTTGTTCATCTTTGACCTTGATTGAGCCGTTATTGTCCACTTCTTGCACGCGGGAGTTCCGGTGTGCCTCGAGGGTAATTTTGTCTTTTTCACCCAAGAATCCACGTGTCGCCTCCATATTTTTCTTGATTATTTTTTGCTCCACACCTGTTGGGTTGCTCGCAGAAAAAGGCAGCATGTGTAGAGATCTTCTTACTTTAGGAAACATAGGATTGGTTCCTATTTTGATGTAGATTCCCTCTTTAATTGGAAATTGGATCCTTCTAGGAAAGGGAAATAAATTACTTCTAAAGTCTATTTAAGTCTACCTTAAGTAGATTATTAAATCAACTTTAGAGAGCAATTTATTCTACCCTACAAGAGAGAGAGAGCTAGAGGACATTTATTCCCCCTCCCCTAACAATCTTTTACACTTGCCCGTGCAAAGGAACGTCTTTCGTTGCTTTCTTCGTCTTCAAGCCGCATCAAGGTGAAAAAAAAAATTAATTTTTCCTTGGGAGCCTTAGGAGTTGAAATTTGGCTCGACGGGGGTCGAGGATGTGTGAAAAATTGGTTGGAGTGGGCCACGACATGGTTGCTACCATGGGACTGCTTAACACGATGGTGGCTGGTTGGGCAAGAGTGGCTCGACTTGGGCTGAGTTGATGGGCGCTGGGTCGATGAGGCTCGGGCTTGTGTTCGAATGGGAGGAAGGGAGGCGCGGGCCTCCTTCCTGGGTTGGATGACTGGGCTTCGGCCCACAAGAAAAGTGGAAACAGGAGGCACAAAGGCGCCAATCCCCCCTCTGTGGTATTGGGTCATGAGGCTTGGCGCAACTGCTGGGTTCCTGCAGCTTGGATCTTCAAAAAAAAAAAATTATATATATATATATATAATTTTTTGAGTAGCCGTCCAATGAAATTTTCTTGCGCCTTTGTAGAAGTTCTTCAAGCATGTCTTCTTCAAGCCACAAGGGTGATGATGGTGTTTCACCGTTGTATCGTCAAGGCTAGTTTTTGAGTAATGTAGGCTACTTCAAGGCTGCTAACTTCAAAATTAGCTCTGATGATTCATTTAGAGACTTTCTTGAGGCGTATAGGCATGCCATTTTGCCGGGGGTGCGTGTGAAGCGTGTAGCAGTCGTGAGCCATGTGGTGAGGATTAAAAAGCCATCAAGTTCTTTCCTTATTACTTTGTGTTGGGATTTACTTTTCCCATTCCGCGTTTCTTCCAAGAGGTGTTCTGCTCCATGAAGTGCGCCCATGCGCAATGTTCTTCTAATGCGATTCGCGTGATGGTGGGATTGCACAATCTAAGCCTATTCTTTGACTTGGATTTGACTGTCAACGAATTTTGGTATTTCTTTGACATTAGCCAAATTGGAGGAGTTGGGCAGCTAGGATCTCGCCATAGGCTCTTTGACCACTCGAGCAAGGGAGACCATGAATGGGCCATGGAGACTTTGGAAATAAATGGAGAATGGGAATTTGATTCTTCTCCTGAGCTGCGTGTTTCGACGGTTTTCATCTTTGGTAAGTAGACTGCTTAGTCATTCGATTGCTTTGCACTTTTAATAGGTTGCTTTTTGATTTACTAATCGTCTTTCTCCATTTTCACAAATTTGAAATTCGACTCCAAATATGAAAAAGGTACATATTGCCCTTGGTATCCTTTTTGAGTACCGTAAGTGGCGTTGGCTGCTTAGTCCTATTTGTCGGAAGAAAGGTAGGCTACCTCCGCGAGAAGAGATAAAACGAATCAAGGTTGAGGTGTTGGCTTGTCTAGTCACTATAGTTGAGCATGGTGCACATGAAGGTGGGAAGAAGAGATCTCCCCCGCCTACTCAGGAGATGTCGGTTAAGAAAAAACCAAAGACTTCTTCCACTGCTCGTGAAGGTTCGCCAGTTGCTCCTGAGCTCGTGATTGACTTGACTTCCCCTAAGGGAGAGAAAGAGGAGGCTACTAGATCTATGCCAGTGGTGCCTGCTGCTCCGAAGGTGGCTAGTTTGATTGCTGACAGGATTGCTCAGTGTAGAAGTTCCGCCATGCCCCCAGTACCAAAATTTGTGCCCAAGCATTCGTTGGGGGCTAAGTTTGGTTCACTTTTGGAGAGACTTGCTACTATGAAGAGCGATAAAGTGGACTCTACTACTAAAGTGGCACCAAAACCCACTCCCCAGGCTGCGAAGACTGATTCGTCTACTGAGAAGAAGGAGACTGCTCGTGTGGGCAGTCGTGAATAATCCATAAGCCTGTTTCTGGGGAACCTACTGAGATTTGTGCGTTTTTTAGACCAGATCTGCTCAAGGACATGGATGTGTGTGCCAAGTTTGTTGATGGTGTCAAAGGGGTTGTTGGCCTAAATTCCTTTATGAACCATACAACCAAGTATAGGAGGACTGCTCTGCTGGCTATGATGCAAAAAATGGTGATTCTAGCAGTTGAGTCTATGCTTCTTGATCAGAAGACACCAAGGAGGTGGCAGTCGAAGCGTACTCCTCAGCCGAGAAAGTCAAGAGGTTGGAATCTGAGCATGCCGCTTTGAATGGGTCAAATATCTCTGCCCCTACTTCTCTGCAGCTTGAGACCGCTCATTGGGAGATCATGGATTTGAAGACTAGGCTTGACATGATCCAAGTTAAGTATGAAAATGCAGAGAAGGAGATCGGGTGTTACACACCTCAGATTCAAGACTTGAGCATGCTATCTTTAAGTTTCACTCTGTTGCTTACGCAAAGGATGAAGAGTTGATCGCTGTTTACAACCAAGTGATCCACTTCAAGAAGGTCGTTGATAGGCTCGAACCTCAAGTGTTGGAACTCTAAGGTGCTTTGAAGATCAATGACAATTTGAAGAAGGAAATGGAAGAGTTGCAGCGGGTTCGTGCTGGTCTGCTCGAGGTGAATGAGTAGTTGAAGGGTATGAAGCTGGGTTCGAGGCTTTGCTTACTCAAATTCAAGCTAATGTCTACAAGCTAGGTTATGTAGACCATCTCTTTGGGAGGCCATATGACTTTAGTTTGTTGGTAAAGTCTTCGAGACCTTATCTATTTCTCCGGAAAACTTGCTTGCCTTCATTTTCGAGGCTTCCATTGGTGAAGTAGTTAGAGATGCTGATGCCTAAGCTGGAGCAGTCAGGGGTGAAGTGCCGGATAGTGTCACTGCTGAAGGTGCCACTACTGCTAAAGGTGTGGCGACCAAGTAGCCGTGGAATGTCCTAACTGCTGAAGAGTAGTCTTCTAGGTAGTCTTTAGGATTTTCTTTGTTTTCCTTGTTGCTTTTTTGTTTTGCTTGAACTCCTTCAGTTTTTGCTAGTTGTTTATCAATTTTGCTAGAAAGCTTAATAAACTTGTTTCTTTCTTTTTTCTCCATCTTTGCTTATTTAGTCTGTGCCCTAACCTTAGACTTTATAAACCAGTGGTAGGCGTGCTACTTTTCTATAAGCAGACAAGCATGTGTAGCCTATGCAGTTGTAGGTGTTGGTGTAGAACTTTCCAAAGTTGTTAGACATAGGGTCGTCAGCCGGACACCTTACTTAGAAGCAAACAAGTCAGTGTGGCCACTGGGCTATTAACATTGGCTTTCTCCAATTTCGTAGGTTGTATAGTAAGTATCACAACACTTTAGGACTTGGTGTAGGTCCTTCTGCGTAAAAATGAAGCCCATCGATTGCGTAATATATCGGCAGTGGACGAAGCTTTGTATATGCGCACCAACTTGTTTAACCTTTCATAGAAATGTGCGGTTGTATAAGTTTAGCGCGGGTTATTGCTCGAAGAGCAAGCCGTAGGCAGTCTTCTGGAAACCGTAGACTACCTTAGTGCACTCGGTAATAACTTTAGGGTTCCAGGGCAGCCGTCCATCGGGCATATTGCGTAATGTGCCCCTTCCATCTCTGGGGCCCGGTTCCCCGTGAATTAGGCCAAGAGACCCAAAATCCTTCAGTTAGCTAAGTCTTTAAAAAGACCATTATGGCTACTTCTAGAAATCTCGACGTAAGCCATTGTGTATCTAGTTATACTAAGGCAGCCTAGCTCGTCCACGTTTGGATTTCGGAGTGTAGAGTTTATCCTCCCGCTTTAGAGAGCTGACTCAAGTGGGTGTTAGGGAATTGGTTTACCCTCTCGCACTGGATAGCATGGTTGGTTATGAGTCCTTAAGAAGGACGCAGTCTTCTTTTGAAGTTCAAGAGTGATTAGTTGTTGTAAACATGTAGTTGAGCCAAGTTGTAAATTACTTTTGAATTCCTCATTGAAAAATGAGTGAAACAAACGAAAACTTAGCAGTAAAGTAGAGACTGCATAATAACTGGATAATCCTCGGCTTGCGAGGTGGTGCCTGTTGAGCTGCATGAGTTTTTCAGGCTTTGATGTAATGGGAGGTCACACATGATACTTCCTTATATTGTAGGCGTTCCACTGTTTTTCGATCTCTTTGTCGTTTATGGTGGCG